ACCTAAGAAGGAGGGTGAGTTACATCTCTGTATAGACTACAGAGGGTTGAATGCCGTCACTGTTAAGAATGTTGAACCACTTCCTCGCATTGACGACTTACTTGACTAGTTACAGGGATGCAGGTACTTTACCAAGGTCGACTTGAAATCTGGGTATCACCAGATCGAGGTGGAACCCTCCGATCAGCATAAGACCGCTTTCCGGACCAGGTATGGCCACTATGAGTTTGTGGTAATGCCCTTCGGATTAACGAATGCCCCTGCCACTTTTCAAAGGTCAATGAATGACTTGTTTTGTCAATGGTTGGATAAGTTTGTCATTGTCTATCTCGATGATGCACTAACTCACTACCCTGTCCTTAAGAGTGGGCACCATGCAATTACATGCCCTGCGATACCACATTTCAGACACTGTGCATTACCCATTCTTTCCTGCCACGTTTCTTGTGTCAGGCCCATCTTTGCCCATGGCCTCCCGACCGCAATCCCGGGATGCTCTGGGAACAAGCGTGGCTTCTTCTTCTTTACTGGCGGTCGTGGTCCTCCCTTGTTGACCACGGCAGCAGTGACTTCCCCCTTCCCGGAATCACTGCTGCTCCCCACATCCTCGGCCTCCAATGGCCACTTCTCCATAGTATGGTCGTCAAAGACGACGAGGGTGTGGTCTTGGCGCTTTTGGCGCCAAAGTATCCGCTTTCCTGCACCTGCACCACCACCAAACTTCACAACAGACGCATACGAGTTCTTAACCTGAGAAGTCGTTTGCTCTCGTTGGAGAACAAGATCCCAAAACTGCCCGTAATTGTACTTGCCTGACTTAGACTCTGCCACAAGTTGTCCACGGATGGGCTCGGGCAGAGCACGGGAATAGATGTACAAGACTTGGTTGTCTTGCAGGTTCAATCCAGGAATCTGCAGCAACCGGTCAACTTCCCGATACAAAGCTTCTACCGAGGTCCAATGTTTTTGACCAATGGTAGTGAGCTGGTCAAGGGCCTTGTCGGCTGTTGTCTTATCCAAGAAGCGTTCCTTGATCTTTCCAAGGAACTGCTTCAGATTCAAGGTTGCAGCCCACTCCCCAATATCATTGAACCCCGCTGCGTTGGCTTCAGCCAATACCCATTCCTTAGCTTCTCCCCCGAGACAAGAGGTAGAGAAAGCAACCTGGGACTCGGGTTCAACAGGGGCCGTAGTGCAGTACGTCTGAATTTCGGCAATCCACAACAATAAATTTTCATCTTTTTTGTTGCAGAACGTGAAAGGCAGTTTCGCCTTTACCTTTTCTTTCTTTCTTTACCTTGATCGGCGACTTTCGAGAATCAGGAGACTTTGGAGGTGGAGAGGGAGGAGGAGAGCTCAGTGGAGAAGACGGCGGACTCGGAGGTCCTCCTCCATTAGACGACTTCTGATCTTTAGGAACAATGGACTTCATTGTGTCACTCATCAATTTCTTCTCTTCTTTCTTATCTTCCTTACCTTCTTCTTCTTTACCTTCTACCGGATTCTTCTCTTTCACAATATTTGTGACAGTTCGTAATCCTACAGCAATCTCGACTAACTGGTTTTGCTGTCTCTGGATTTTTTCTTCCAAGAAGGTAAGGTAAGTCATGATGTGATACAATGTTTGTGTTATGTTCGTCTGTTCCTTACCTTTTGTTCCTATTACCTGTCTGATTTCCTTTACCTTCTGTTCTCGTCTCAGTTCCTGTTCGTGTTTCCGGGCTAGTTCTTCTTTCTTCCTTTCGTCTGCAGCCAGCGCCTCTCTTAATTGCTGGATGTTCGCGTCAACCGTAGCCTCGGTCACTTCTGGTCTGATTTCCCCTTTTCTGGACAACTCCATGGCTTCTTCCAGCTGCTTGATAGCAAACTGGTCCAGCGCCTGCCGACACTGGGCCATCATTTTAGACACTTCGGCCCAAGCAGCCACAACTTCCGCGGCCGTAATTGCTTGCTTCAGACGGTTCTCTACCGTCTGCAAATCAAACGGATTACGAACGTGTCGTTCGACGTCCGGTCCGGACAGACGCAAATCATTCAATAGCTGGTTCCATAGAGCCAGTAACTCTTGTTTCTTTGTCTCCGCCTGTTTCCTAGTCTTGGGATCAAAGGATCCTTCGCCCGCAAAGAACGTCATCGGGAAAAGAAGCAAGAGTATTTTCCACATACTAAACATCTTGGAGGTCAGGTTTGAGGAAATATTTGCAATAACGGAACAAAAAAATAAAGAAAAATAATAAAAAAGGAACAAATCTCTACTTATACTAATTGTTGTTCTCTTGTCTGTGTGATGACGTCCTATTAGAGAGTGTACAGGTACCACGTCAGGCCCGTGTGATCAGATACAACACACAAGTAAGTACGCACAACACCACAACACAACAAACGACAAGGTAAGTATACCAACAACAACAACAAACAATTTGTCAGCACCCTTCTTCTTTCTGCTGAGTCTTCCAGGTGTCAATGCGATGATGCACCGTCCTTGACAGCTGGCACTACAGCTGTCTCGTCAGTCGTTCAATCAGCCGTACCACCATCGTCTTCGGAGTGCTTCTCTTACTTGGCAGCCATCTGCCTGCCACGTATCATCCCTGAAGTGCTAAAATAGCTGATCCTGCCACGTCAGCACTAGTGTCCAGTCAATCAATAAAGGGATGCTACGTCAGCAAATGTGCACTCCATCCTTCCCACGTGCCACTTCCACGCGTCGTGTCGTGATACCGTCGGCGTTCCAGCCAATTGGACAATGCCACGTCAGCGAATGGAGACCGATGCCACGTCAGCAGAAAGTCAACACCTCAAGAAGACAGGTGTGATGACTTCTCCCCTGCCACGTCAGCAATCAGTCCTGACTTCCCGAAAGGCCACGTCAGCTTCTGTAACAGACCTGGTCGCGCATAAGCTGCTAATGCAGCGTGAGAACGCCACATCAGCAATCACCAACAACCAGGTCTTCAGACGCGGCACATGATATGCCACGTCAGCAAGGGATCGCGATGCCACTTCACTATCGCGATCCAGGCTGGCGCACGGTAACTCTCGGTCGCGGTCCCTACTGCCACGTCAGCAGCCACGTCAGGATCTTCTCTCGCCAGCTTGTCAAGTCATCACTACCTCAGCACACGTTTGCATGCCCTCTTACCTGCGGGCCACCTGGCGCGTGCGCACGTGTGACTGTCGTTGTCGTCAGGAGAACTGCTCCGATACCAAATTGCAATGAACCCAGATCGTGAAGACAGTTGTCAACAATGCAAATCCAGATGAGTGTCAACCAGCTGATGATTATCAATAATCGTATTCGTGTCCAGATACCCAAGAGAAGAGAAGACATGCACAGACGAGGTAGATGAGAGGGAGGAAAGACTTAGAGTGGGGAAGATAGAAACAATGCCCACTGCTTCTTCGGGCTCCCTCCGCAATCACCACCTCAATAATCAATAATCTTAACAAGTATCTGAAGTAACCTCAATGTGCCATGTGGCACGTCTAGTCAGTCCCTCATCAATGCTGGAGCAATGTCAACATGAAGACAGCCAAGTAAGTATCCACGATCTCTCCACAGTCCTGATCTCCTCCTGAATGACGATAATCAGAACAAGAACATAAGTCACATAGCTTCGCCTCGTCAACATAGTAGTACACACCGACCTGGCTATGGTGGACACCATCTTCATCACCTTGTTAGGTGCTGCATCTGGAAGGCCCCAGTGGGGGTAGTGCCGCACCAAGGAAGCTCGGGCCAGAGTCAGGCATGGCGGCTTATTGAGCAGCGGCTTAGCTGCTTTGTGTTGTCCTTTGCACAGAAGGGCAGCGACATAGCTGCTTTGGGTTGTCTTTTTCACAGGAGGGCAGAGCCCTTAGTAGTCCGCCATAGCCTAGGCATGTGAAAGGAGGAAGAAGGGGGAAGCCATGGCTATGGTGGACCTAATGTTGTGTCAGCACTAAGATGGAACTTCGGATATTGATTCTGGTTCATCCGCTCATTGTAATTATTATTATTGGAAGAAGAAAAAGATTGGCGAAGTGAAGGAGGAGGAAGAAGGTGGAGAGAGAAGGGGGATTTGTCATTGGTCTTGCTGGTGTACATCTTCTTCTTCTTCTTCTTCTTCTTCTTCTTCTTCTTCTTCTTCTTCTTTCTCTCTTCTTTGGTCTCTATCTCCTTGCACGTGCTTTCATTTCTTTCACAATTGGGTGGCATTGTCTTTCATGTGCATTTGCACTTTGGGAATGACCAGGATCGTAACACAGGTCCAGAAGTCCCCGCTTTATTGTGCCATCCTTTTTCCTTATGAATGTTCTCCCATCGCTTCGAATTCACCGCCCATAGGTAAGTTGCTTCTTCCCTGTTCAAGCTCGCCCCGATTCTTCCTTCTTGGTCACGCCTGTTGCTTTCCTCCATTCGCGTTGGCATTGTTCCAGTGTTACTCCTTGTACTCTGCCTCCTTCAGAACGTGCAAGTGTGCTGTGAAGGCACACAGGGATATGGGCAGCTGGCGGACAACCACAATCAACATGGCCAGCTTTGTACGTGAGAGGCATAGTAAAAGGGGGAGCTGCAAGGACTAATAAAAAGGGTACCCCAAAGAGCATCAAAGTAAAGACTCAATGGATCTGTTGTGCTCCGTGTTGCTTGCTGTATAGCTAAAACTGTTTCATTGTGGGATCGGCTCATCTCAAGTGTGTTTCATTGACTACCATAGAGATAAATTTGCTCGAATTTTGGATCTAAGGTGGAACAGGGGCTGTTGTGGTGCAAATCCAAATTACACACACTGGTTCTCAGACAGGCGGGAAGCACACAGGAGACAGAAATCAGCAAGCACTTAGACCACAGACACTCAGCAGACACAGAAAGTCACGGCAGAAGACATTACTGTGTGAGCTTTGTTGGTGAGGTAAGCATCAAGAATTGGGCTCATTGTGATAACCCTACTCTTTCTGTAGGCTCAATCTTTTGTGCTTCCTCTGTGGATGTCCATGTTCGCTGTCATTTCTTCCAGATTATAATGAATTTGCCAGAGCTGGTTGTCCAGGCAATGACATTAATGGTTCGGTATCTTCGGCAGTTTGGTCTCGAAGAGGTAAGGGCGTGATGGCGTACCAGTTCCTCTATTGTGACTGATTGATAGCGTAGCTGTCTTTGGGGACAGACTCCTGTCCATGATCAATTGCCGGTATGTGTACAAGCTTTCCTGAAGGAGTCATTTGTGTCAACATCTCATGGTAACGAAGTCAGTGATGAGAACGAGAAAATTGATTAGAAAACTGCACTCTATGTCACTCTTGAAGACTTGAAGACTTGAAGACATACTTCTGGATGCTCTCGTCTGTTCGTGAACAATGCCTGCCGGGGCTGTGGACATATGCCAAATTCTGCGGGCCATGGAGCCTGCAGAATTTTACACGATCCTCGGCAGTCTTTAGTTTAAGTTAACAAGTTTCCACGAATGAAGTCTGTGGAGCATAAGCCTGCCTTTGGCTTTCTTGAAGACTCACTTTCTTCTCACTTCGCATGCATGCAAATAGATGGTGAAACACACTGGCGCCAGGCGTCCACACAAAGCTTAGAGATATTCAAGCTGAGAACACAGTTCGGATACAAACTCGCTTCAACTGGCTATGGCGCCCACACTTCATTTCCCAACTCGGTATGCATGGCAACTGTTCACACGCACTCAACTCTGGATCTCCCTGGATATCCCACGCACATACACTCTGTATCACACACGCACGCACACACACTCTCACTACCAGCTATCGCTAGCTATGGCAGCTATGGCCGCCGGCTGCATCTAATTACAAGCAGCGATGGCTGCTCTGGCTTTGCCTCAGCCCACTTCGACTTCGGGCATCTGCAGACCACCTCGCACAAGGCGCTAGGGCAGCGCTTCCGCATGGCTCACGCAGAATGAATCAATGGCTGGACGCTGCCTCTTGATTTATACTTCTGTAAGTCGCTGGTCTGCCCCTTTCCACCGGGCCCATGGTGCACACAGTCCCACATGGTACTTGCTGACTGGACAAAGTGAGACTGGGGCTGGGTACCACTGACTAAGCAAAGTTGAACTGCCCACTTGGCCATTTGCCCATTTGCCCATTTGCCTCTGGTCTAACGTGAGAAAAACTCGAAAGGCCACTTCTGGACCTTCCGGAAGTCTGTGGATTTGGCCTTTGGGGACTGTAGCAGCTACGACCTTGACCTTTCAGGACTGTAGCAGCTAGGACTTGACCTTTCAGCGTTGCAAGTTCTATGACCCCTACACGGGTATGACCCCTACTTCGACAGGTTACAGTTCAAGACCCGACAGCTACACAGACCTACGACAGCCTACATTCAACTACCGAAACACAGGTCGCGGGTTCAAAACACACAGGGCCCACTTAGTACTGTACACAGGTGAGGTAAGGTCTAGGGATCGAATCCTGGGATCTGCATCTGTCACTGCAAAGGTGAAAACCGTTTCCTTCTTTGCGGTACCCCTTTTATTTCTTCTTGCAGCTCCCTTTTACTGTGCCTCTCACATACAAGGCTTGCCACATTGATTGTGTTTGAGAGCATGCTGCACACATCCCAATGTGCCATGACGGCCCACTTGCACGCTATGAAAGATTGCAGAGTAAAAGGGGAGGTATTCATTTTTTATTATTTTTAACAGATCTTCAGCTTATATTTTGTTTGCAGTGTGGCTTCTCTAGTGTCAAAAACGTAGTAGGGAAAGGGGATTAATGACTAGAACGAGGAGGAGGGAAGAGCTTCTGGGATGGATGTGTTCATGAAGCAGTAATAAAAGTTTTCAAATGTCCGAAAGATCACTATTTTGTTCTGCGATTGCAATCATGGTTCCTTGCTGTCCTGCCCTTACTTGACATTTGAATGCGTGTCCGATGTGTTCTCAAACCTATTGACACTGCTGACGGTTCCGTCAACTTGGCACTTCTACTTCTATCTTCCCACACCCTCCCTACTCCTCTCTCTCCTGGTTATTGTATGTCCACCGTACTCCTCTCTCTCCTGGTTATTGTATATCCACCGTACTCCTATTTTTTGCAGACACTCTCTCTCTCTCTCTCTCTCTCTCTCTCTCTC